GGTAGGGGAAGGTAGAAGAAAAAAAAAAAAAAAAAAAAACCCCGAAACCGCTCAATCAATCAACAGCTACAAAACCCCCCTTGTCGGGAGTAGATCTCCAATGAATGGATAGATACCTACCGGTAATTCAGAGATATCCACGTGCGTTCTCTGTTCCCTCTCAGTTTGCACACACACACACACACGCACCTCGCACCTCGCACCTCGCACTTCGCATCTAAATATCAAAACTGGTATGCACATACATCCGATTTTGAGAAACCCATCGCCCGCTTTACTGGAGTCTGGCGCTCTTTCTTCCTCTGAGCACCTGACTGACTGACTGACTGATCGACTCGAGGAACGAAAGGCACGTGGATCGCGAGAACGGATCACATGAAAAGCAGAGGAGAGAAGAAGCTCTATTTTATTTTGAAGAAGTCACGATGGGGGAATGCATTTAACTGCCGGGGGTGGAGGAACTTGAGAGCTAAGGTACCTTATCTATACTTAGACTGTACTGTACTGTACCGGTACTACAGTACGGTATAGGTAGGTAGGTAGGTACTCCGTACATACCGGTACAAGAGGGAAGGTGGCGAGCCCTATTGTAAAAGGGGAGGGGGGGGAGCCAAGGTCCGGCGAACTGTCCCTACTGGTAGTAGTTCGTACTGGTTCGTACTAGTTCGTACTACTGTATTAAGTACTACTACCTACCTACTGTACTAAGTAGAGACGGGGCGAGAGAATGAGAGAATATGAGAAGGAAAGAAGAGGAAGGCGTTAGCCGAGAGGCTTGGCGCGCTGGGCTGGAAACAGGGGGAGGGGGGAAGGGGGAAGGGGAAGGGGGGTGGTGTGTGGTGTGGTGAGCAACAAGGTAATGAGAACAGGAACAGGGCTAGACCTGGCGTGGCTTGCTTTCATAAGTACCTACCTACCGTATCACACGCTTTGAGTAGGTACCGGTATCATCGAAGTAGGTAATCATGGGTTAGAAGGTACGGTATTGGAAGGGTTACAGGGCTCACGTGTGGGTTAGTAAGGGGGGTTTTTTTTTGTTTTTTTTTTGGCTTTTTATTTGGGGGCTTTTTTTGGGGAGGAGTGGCGGGGTTTTTTCAAAAGAACCTCTTGAAGAGGTTTTTCCAGAAAAATAAAAAATAAAAAAAATAAAAAAAAAAGACTAAA